GTCGAGATACGCTCAAAGTTAATCGAACGGAGCCGTTAGTAATCATCGGTGTAGTATCAAACTGATTGATTGCTTTCATATTCGGAAGCTCTTTCTATAATATCGTTTATGACTCCCGTTTTATTCGGATTATAGCTTTGCAAGCTTCTAAGTCTCAGCTTTGTTCACCCGCGAACTTAGTAATCATATGCTGCATTTGTGTTTGAATGGCGTTAAACAGATTCAGTTACAAAGCGAAGCAGGCAAGAAGTTGCGGAATACAGAAAGGATTACATTTAAGAGAGGCAAACAAAGTTAATGAATTAGCCCGCTAGCTACAAGGAACTAATTAACGCGAAGAGCGCCGCGTCCTAAGGGAATTTACATTTATTGCAGTTTATGTTTATCGATAAAACGCAGACTTTTGAATAAGAGTAGACAAGATAGTGTTCATGTTTCACTAAATTTTATGTTGGAATTTATAAATAAGTATTTTGAGGCCTGTGCCCCAGCAGTGGGGACATCATTAGGCTGATGATGATGATTTTGAGTTTACTTACTTCAAAATTTTGTAGATTCAAGTCATTAGCAAATTGTCTGATAGAGATGGGTGGTGATGATATGTGTTTAAAATAATTTAAATTAATATTAAAATACTTCATAATAAAATAATTATTTTATCTTCAAAAGTGAAATAATTTAGTTTTAGGTAGCAACCATCAATGGCAATAAGCAACAAAAACATTTATTTATCTTGGTTACAATCCATTGCAGATTATAAAATTATACCAACGGTGTTATCAAATTCACTTTGTCAATAATTTTGTGACAATACCTCACTATTTTCCGAACAACATCTTTCATCCCAATCAGTCGCAATCAATGCCAAATATGGCGATGTCGAAGTAAATTTACATGTTTTATGTTTCCTTTGTTGTGTGCAATAAAGAATATTATTATTTACCAAAGCGTAGTTTACACTAAATTAAAATTATTTATTCCCTATAATGCAACTAACTTTATTCGTGGGGTTTGATGTGGGGTCAAGTCGTTATTTCGTGACTGTTTATTGTGAGATCTTTATAATCATTTTATTTCGAATGTTAAGTCTTACAGATCCCTTGTACGAGTCCTGCTCGCATTTGTTTTTTGTTCCTTAATGCGATCGTATAAAATATATGCATATTTAAAAGGCACTTTCAATATCGATATAATTTATTGAACTTACATCTGTGCCGAACATATATGAATATGAGACGAGATTGGTAGCGCCCGGGATAGACCTACACGCAGCCAGAAATAAAATCCGCGCAAATATCCTGACTTATTAGATCGAGGGCGCCTGCCTTGTTGCGACATAATGTTTGATATGTATCATAAAATATATAATACCTTTAGCTTTATTATTTTCTCTTGAGAAGCTTAGATACAAATGTTTAGTCAATGTCACAACCCGTATGCTCATACGGGTATTACTAAACCGTTTTATAAAAATACGCGAAGGAATATTTTTGTATATCCTTTTTAAGGAAATTATGTTGATGGAGTATTGATCTCCTCTCTGCTGGGGCACAGGCCTTTACTATGGATGGAAATGGGAGTCTGGGCCGTGACACACCACGCGGGCAGAGTGCGTTTTGGTAAGTGCTTACGACTGCGGGTGCAGCTGGGACCAACGGCTTACCGTACCTTCCGAAGCACAGAGGAGCTCACCCATCTAATGCAACCACTGCAAAAGGAGACCCGGCACTTTTCATAGAAAAAATGCTAAACTTGTATACAGTTGAATTTGATCTTAAAATAAAGCCAAAACTATTTGCTACATAAAACTACTTTTGCCTTATTTTTAGTGAATCGTGGAAAGAAGTTATATAATGATTAATATTTTTTGATATGGAAACCCTAAATCTTCAAGGTACAGAATTTTACTTCAAAATATTACTCAAGTGACTGTAAAACCCATGATTCCTTTGCTTTTTCTAAATAAAAAAACCAAATGTCAATTTGACAATCCTAAAATACAAACAAAAAAATCATTCGCATTTCGCATCCGCTCCCGCGTACTGTGATTGTGAATGTTCTCTGCTGTGATTGCCTTTTTATCCGTTATTTCTCTTGACGACCCGGCTACTTAGAGAGGTTATATTGACAAACCTACGTATTTGACATTGACAGCTAGCTGTTGATGACAAATATTGCCAGACTACGTACCCAATTATGAAACACAAATAAAAAAATTAAAAAAGTATACAACTTTGGCACAAAATACCGGGTGTCCTTTGCTTAACTTACACGATCTCAGGCCAAATGCGCTAATTACCTGCACAATCGCATTGAAATAATAGACTTGTTTAAGTTATTCTCTTGCAGCAGTTATTCTTGTCCTGTGAATAGCAAAGCCGGCACTTATACGCTCTTGGAGGTAATTATCTTTGAGGGATCGACAAGTTGATTCATTGAAATGCGTTTTCAAACTGACAATGTAAATGTATACAAAACTACATTCTATTTCCTCTACTGTAGAATTCTCTGTGGAAATTCAGATCCAATAGCCAGGAGCCAGGCAATGCCTTGGAAAACACTTTTTACGTTTTGTCTAGGTATTGTGTACAATGTAGACATTTCGTTTTAACATCAGTACCCTTAGTACGAGTTTTACAATTACGAAAACTATGATAGTTTTCGTGAGCTCGCACTCGTACTAAGGGTACTGATTTTATTGTTTTCATTTCAATACAAATAAACAGTGTTTAAATTTTATCATTAAATCATTTGCGTCTTCTTAAATTTTAAGTAAGTTTGGTTACTTTAAACCAAAATGGACATAGAAACATAATTTACAATTACGAAAACTATGATAGTTTTCGGGAGCTCAAACTCGTAGTAAGGGTACTGGTTTCTTTGACGGTCTGCTGGGCTGAAAGCTAACACATGAAATCTCCATTATGTTTTATTTCAAAAAAATGAATGTGGTTATGACCACACGACTGAAGAGAAACTTCTTTAGCTCCATCTGTATGTATGTATATGTTACCGGCCAAACCCGATTTCAGGACAAACTAGTTTTGCCTAGGCTAAACTGGTTCTTCCTATGCGCGATAGGATTAACTAGTATAGCCTAGTCCAAACTAATTTGTCCTAAGCCCGATAGGATAAACCAGTTTAGCCTAGGCCAAACTAGTTGATCCTGATAAAAATACGCATACTCTAGGATAAACTAGTATGGCCTAGTGTAAACATTATAGTATATCTAGAAAGTCAAAATAAATAGATAAACCGAATAAAATAATCCGTAATTGGAAAAATAATATTTTTTATTAAAACCATAATGATTCATCGTTACAAGTTATGGATAATTAGTAATACAAAGAAAAGTAAGAAAAGTTTAATTTTTCTAGTAAACTTTTCTTTAGATTTAAACACCTAGCAGTTAAATGCTTAAAAATAAATAAAAACACTAACTATAATTGCTATTTCTTCTTTCAAATGTTTAATACTTGAAAAAGTATTCATTTGACATTGTGGGTTGCGTGGTTGCAACCTACAATGCGAAGAGATGGCGCTGCCTTGCAGCTTAAGGCTAGGAAAATTTCGACGCGGCGAATAGGGCCGTGGTAGCATAATGGTCAGTGCATTCGCCCGGATTGCGAAGGGTGCGGGTTCGAGTCCGGTCCGCTGCCTGGTCCGCGTGGTTTTTTTTTCTAGTAAACTTTTCTTAAAATATTTTGAGTTTACAGTGAGATGAATTGTAAAAGGTTCGAATGATTCGGAATTTCTTAAGCCGGGTAGTTACTCATTGGCGAGCTGTAACCATAACCGTTGCACGCACTGTAACCAAAAAGCATAGTGTGTACGTGGTTCGATAACCTGCTGCGAGAACGGTACGCGTGCGGTTTGAAGCGAGCCAACGTTCACAACTGAGCTACTAGCGTACACACTAGAACTTCGTACCTTATCACGCATGTTACGGTAACAGATCGCTAATGCGTACCCGGCTTTACTGTCTTCCGAACTCCCGGCAACAACAAAAGAGTTAAACAAAAACCAATTACAGAAAAAACACTCCCTCCACTTTCTTCCAGCGTTCTTTTTACATGACGCGCCCTGTACAAGTCCTAACATGTCTGTTCAATTACTTTCCGCTTTGCTAAATTGGTTTAGACTAGGTCGTACTAGTTTATCCTAGAGTGTGCGTATTTATATCAGGATCATCTAGTTTGGCCTAGGCTAAACTGGTTTATCCTGTCGCGCTTAGGATAAATTAGTTTGGACTAGGCTATACTAGTTAATCCTATCGCGTATAGGAAGAACCAGTTTAGCCTAGGCAAAACTAGATTGTCCTGAAATCGGGTTTGGCCGGTAACATATACATATATGAGGAATCTATATATGATGATTGGACGATCGATCTATATAAAGTCATGCTTAAGTTTATATAAACTTTCTTGAATACCTCTATAGTAAAATAAATTAAATTAGTCTCAGGTATCAAAAACAACTGTAACCCGTAAACATGCGCTCTTATTAAATAAAACAAGTTTCAACAATATAGATACACTGATGGATTTGTTTATTAACGTTTCTGGCTGCGTCGTCAGAATTATGTTTTCATTTACATTGTCGACCTGCCTTCGAAAGACTTTTATTAAACGTTCGGGTACTTCATCAAAAGATTATTGAAATTTATCTAACTAGCGGCCGCCCGCGACTTCGTAAGTGCGGAGTAAGTTAGAAATAAAGGTTCACTTCTCGTGCCAAATTTGAAGAAAATCCATTCGGTACTTTTTTAGTTTATCCCAGTCATACGTACAGACAAACAGACAAAAATTCTAAAAACTATATTTTTGACTTCGTTATCGATTGTAGATCACACCCCAAGTATTCTTTTAACAAAAATAATCAATTACAGTTTTGACTTTCCTACCATTTTATTATATGTAATAGATTATATGAATTTATAGGCTTAATATACGAAGAGATTATTATCATTAGAAACGTTTAAAAAAATTGTTTGTTCTCAGTGCCTCCTGAAAAACCTGTGGTCGTGGATCGTTGGGGGAAAGTAATCAACGCCACCACACTTGGACCACACGAAGAAGGCGAGGATGTACTACTCACATGCCGTGTATTAGGAGGTAAGCAAAAATTAATCTCAGTTTTAGGGTTCCGTAGTCCTGAAAAGGAACCCTTATAGTTTCGTCATATCCGTCTGTCTATCCGTCCCCGGTTTTGCTTGGAGACTGTTAGCACTAGAGAGCTGAAATTTTGTGAAGACATGTATATCAATAACGCAGACAAAATAGTGGAATAAAACTTTGGAAATAGTTTTTTTAGGGTGGCTCCCCTACATGTAACCTGGGGATGATTTTCTTTTTCATCGTCTACCCCATCATGTATATCGCTAAATAGGTCCTTTAAAATTACTTTGGTTTTTCTGAGACTATTTTTCGATTTAAGGATCCGTTTGCGAAATATTGAACTTTAAAGCACTAATGTTTGTTCGAATAGGGCGTCACTCCCCCTCTAAAAGCTAAACTATTGGCTTGAAAAACATGACAAAAAAAAACATGTTACTATTAAATGCTTTTCACGAACTTTTAAGGAAAATTATAAAGTTAAGATAGATTTGTTAGTTTAAGAGCAATAGTCGTTCAACTTCCGTTATTTTGTTAAATTCCGTAGAAGAAAACATAAAAAAATATATCAAATTGATTTTGAGTTTGAGACGCAGTTTGACTTCGATTTAGGAATTTAAGTTGGGATTAGGGTACATTTTTGATATTAATTGATGTTTTTAATTTCCGCTACAGAAAATAAAAATACTTTATTTTATACGCTCAAATATATTGTGGTAAACACAGACAAATACAGAACTCTACACTGCGCGTGGCACGACACGCATGTGGCCGGTTTTTTAAGGTTATATTCAAAAGACATGATGAAATTTTGAATGAGCGACTGCCCTAGCAATGTATAAATATTGGACTAAATAATATTTAATGCTGAATGGCTGAAGATTTATAATTTCTATGAATTTATTAGATAATATATATAATTTTATTAAATTAATAATAATAATATATTTTCAAATATCAAAACGGCAGACGTGATCAAATGCATTTCAAATTCGCCAAAAATCGATACCTGTCTTACCTGAGCGCGCGCCGCGTCCACCAGTTGGGGCTTAGTGAACCCCCATCTCATATATGGTAGGTATAGGAGCCTCACTGTACAAAACACCAGGTCTGGTCAAATATACATATACAGGTAGCCGTCCACTGGCTCTTAGACTATTTAGTGGCACTACCATGAGTAAGTTAAGACGAATCGATTGATGTATGAATCATCAAAATCGGTCCACAGGTTTGATCTCTAGTGTGCCACAAAGGAACATACAGACATTTATAGACTGTTAAATACTATACCCTGTCTGCGCGTCGCGCTTCGCGCTCTTGCGTAGTCGGGTAAAAAGGCCATACTCGTCCTTTAAATGAAATCACGTCACAATAACACCGTAAGGTTAATCTAAACTCCATAAATATTAGTCTACTAGTGGCCCGCCCGCGCTTCGCTTCGGTGTAGAGCTGTAGTGTAGACTATAGTTTTTGTTCTCAGGCTTGTATTATACACAATGACATTCTTCTAATACCTAATTACAATAGGCACGCGCCACCAGGCGCCCCGCCCGGTAGCGTCGGAACCGCTATGTCCCTGCATTTTAAATCTGTAATATCTTCGAAAATATTCATTTAAATTACATGCGTTAAATAGCCAAATTGGTCTATATTAAATGCACAATGTATTTAAGGTACTTAATTGGATAAGGAAGAATATTATATTGCTGAAAATCGCTTCGTAAATAATCTATTATTTCTCGTAAAAAGTATAGGATATAAAATGGTTATTGTGGGTTATCCCTAAGAGATGACAGATACCATGGCGAACTTTTTTGTAGACATTTTTAAGGTATACAATACTGTAGTACATTATTTTGATCGATCTCGTAGGGTTCAGCCAGCGTTTGCAATGTAAGCAGAAAAATCTGTGTTTATTTACGACCTTACATTAAAAACCTCTAAAATTATCAGTGTTTCCAACCGTTACACAAAAATAATCCTTATAGCATGATTCAGTATTCACGTGCGACGGCGCGATGGCTTATTTCATGTATAAGTTTGGTGTTTATATACCGATTTCTATGATTCTTTTTTTATTGAATAGGTAATAATGTTAACTTTTTTAAATTAGGGATGAGTGAGAGTATTATAAACGTAAGAGTAAACAAATATAATCAGAATGCTCCGAACTGCTAAGCTATCAGGAGTTACACGTGTTATTGTGAGTCAACCATAAAAGATAGACATATGCTGTTGCGGGATATTTTTTAGACAATTTTATGTAGAATATTTCCGTCATACATGATTTCTATGTAACTTTAACCATTAAGGCTGCACCCGCGACGGAAGCTTAAAAAATGGAGTAATTTCTCCCGTTTTCCCAACATTTTCCTTCACTACTCTGCTGCTATTGATTGTAGCGTGATGAAAAGTATACTATAACCTGCCCAGGAGTATGAAGAATAATTGTACCAAGTTTCGTTAAAATCCGTTGAGTAGTTTTTGTTTCTATAAGGAACATACACACAGACAGACAGACAGACAGACAAAAATTTTACTGATTGCATTTTTGGCATCAGTATCGATCACTAATCACCCCCTGATAGTTATTTTGAAAATATATTTCATGTACAGAATTGACCTCTCTACAGATTTATTATAAGTATAGAAGATAGAAGATATGTACTCTACCTATATGACAAAATAAACTTTCCTATCTTGTACACAAAACCTGACAATGTGCCCATTCTGACGAGATGGATTACTCGTCTCAAGCAACTTAGCTAACGGGAAAAGCACACAGGCTGGAGAATGAAGACCCTCCAATAGATGCAACAATCACTCTTAATTCGAAAGCTTTAAGTACGAATATTCTGTGCGCTTCTTTAAAAAGTCTGAGAAAAAAGGAGTTATGAATCAAGATTTTGTTATGAGTCAACGTAAACTTCTTCGGTGACATTACAATTATCTGTATGTACAGAAGTGTGATTTTATCACAGATGCAAGGGACCGAAAACCTGTGTACTTATACGGTTTTAATTTTAACTCGATACCTCATTAAATTGTCAACGCAAAGAAGGCAACAGTAATAAATCAATAGCCCAGTCTCAAAGTAAGCACTGCAAGGCTTAAAAATATGGGATACTAGCGTAACGGAGAGAATACATATATATATTTATAGCGGGGCAGACAAATGACTCTACCCCACCTGATGTTAAGTGGTGATAAAGCGCAAACGTGAAGAAAGCTGGTACAGCAGTTATAAACTGCAACACCAACCACCTCGCCGGCCTGCAAAAATGCTTCTTCACCTTCTTCAAACCTCTCTTAAAGGCCCCAGATTGTAGGACGGAACACCTGCGCGGGAAAAGAATTCCACTTACTAATAGTACGACAAAGAAATGAGTCACTAAATTTCTTTGTTCGTGTAAGAATAGTAGTCACCGTAAGTCGGTGGCAAAGTAGGCCAGCGCGTGTGGTCCTCTAAAAAAAGGAGATGCAGGGATAAGGGAAAATATTTGTTTCTTAGGTTTTCACGCACATCACTCATTAAATAAAACTAGTTTTTTTTGGGTTAATGCACGAAACTTTATTTATTTAACGTCAATAAATAAATAAAGTTTCTTGCATTAATCCGTAAAAACTAGTTTTATTTAATAAGGGAAAATAACTTCTCAGAACACTCGCCGTCGTATAGTCGGTAGAATACACTTAATGATGCCACATTGCGGCGTAATTGTAGACACGAATTTCTTAGTTACTTCTTCATCGCCAATGATGCGGGCAGCGCGCCGCAGCAATCTATCCAAGGCGAGGTGCGAGCAATATTCCACGCAGGACCGCACTTGCGTTTTAATCAACTACAAACTGATAAATATACACATCCATGACTTAGGTACAGATGCTTGTATTCATCACACAAACATTTGCCCTAGCGGGATTCGGACGCGGGACCTCTGAGTTGGCGACACCTTGAAAACCAAAACATCTTTCTTTAATCAAAATGAAAAGTTAATGAATGTCTCGAAAGTACGTGGGAAAATTATATATACCTATATTGTAGAGTACATCGTTCTCTGATAGTTACAAATCATTACAAAATTATTATTGATAAAATCTTGTAGCATCAAGAATCTCTCTTAATCTGAGAGCTTGTAGAATTGTATGGCATGTACTAAGTAGTCGATATAGTTGAGCGTCGTATGGGCCAAATGATAAGCGTCTTAATGCACACAAATATTGTAAACAAAATAGCAATCAAAACGTTAGTTTAAGAGAAGTATGGCACAGCCGATTTCCCGCTCTCATTGTAGCTTCCATCTGGGGAAGCAACCTACAGCTTACAAAAGAACCCAGTAAAATAACTCTACCTTTTGGTGATATTGTGTTTCTGCTGGTGAGAACTTCCCGGGACGGGGATTGGGTTCAGACCGAAAAGGTGAGGATGGCAGGAGCAGCACACCTTCTACCGCATCATCTATCTTCGCAACTGGACTCCACTTCCACTTAACATCAGGCGGGGTGTCGTAATTTGTTGCAGTTTGTATAAAAAATAATAAAAAAAAACTTATTCCTGCTCCATTGCTAGATTAGGGAAAGCATTCACGAATTAAAGTTTTGGTCTTTTTAGTGATCGCAAGACAATACAAACTTTTCAAAGATAACAAAGCAGATTATTATGATACTTACTTGAGTCTCAATTCTGTACGGCAAATCTTGTGTTGAAATTTGTTTCTTAGGTTTCCACGTACACCACTCATTAAATAAAACCAAGTTTAACGGTATGCATTGATTTATTTATTTATGACGTTTCGCATCCTTTGCAGGCGGCGTCGTCACAATTATCATATATTTAAGCGAATATGCGATAACAAAATCAGTGCATTTTTGGCTATTCCTTAGGCTTAGGCTATCCTTTTAGGTCAGAATTATAATAATTCTGACGATGCAGCTAGAAAAGGATACGCAACTTCATAAATAAATAAATCAGTGCATTTATACCGTTGAAACTTGTTTTA